CTCATGGTCAAGAAACCCTAGTAGATTTTCTTAGACATTTAAACTCTATACACCCTAATATACGTTTTACCATTGAGCTGGAAACTAATAATAACTTTCCATTCTTAGATATTCTTATCAATAGAAAATCCACGCTAACATTGGGTAATTGTATTTACAGAAAACCTACGCACACAGACCGATACCTTAATGCATGGTCACATCACCATCCGTCCCAAAAATCATCGGTTATCAAGTCTCTTATTTACAGAGCCGTGAAACTATCTCAGCCCGAGTCACTGAAAACAAAATGAAAATACTTTATCTCTGCTCTTCTCTCTAATAATTTCCACATTAAGGATATTAAGCGTTTAATCAAAAAATTCACTTCACCACAACCTTCCAATAGTAATGAGTCCGAAAGCAATTTTACACTTGCCACTGTGGTCCTTCCTTACATTCAAAACATCACTGACCACATATCAAAAGTTCTAAACGTCGAAACCAGATTTACCACTTGTTCAATAATCTCTCATCATCTTCGATCCGTGAAAGACAAAACTCCATTTGAGATACCAGGAGTTTACAGCATTCCGTGCATATGCTGCAAAGAATACATTGGAGAGACTGGACGAAAAATATCAACTAGTCTCAAGGAACACGAAAGAGCCTTACGACTAAGACAAATAAACTCATCAGCTGTTGCCGAACACACTCATGAAACCGGACATAAAATTTTATTCGTTTAAACTAAAATTCTTGCATGTAATCAGTTCTTCTACCTGTCATCAATTTGGGAATCAGTCATCCGAGACGGTGTTTATGCCCCTTATTTAGCTCCCCCTCCTCAAACAGTATATAAGCAGGTACAGAGTAAAATACGAGCCAAGTTCAGTCAAACTCTAAAGAAGCCAACAGGATGATTGGCGAAACGTCAGCAATTTCGACCCAACAAATCCAGAAGTTTTGTAAAAACTGTTTATTTTCTTTTAATGAAAAAAAGTCTAATCATTTTCAAATAAATTGGGACATAAATATTATCGTTTAATATACAAAAGCTATACATCATAAATATAGCTCAGCATATACTGGAAATAGCAATTTCTACGGCACACAATAGTTTAAATTAGTATTGACCCCAATTGCAAGAATTCGAAATTCACCCGTGGTCCTCGCGATCTTATATTACCCTCTTCCACCCCATAAACAATGTAGATTCCGAGGAGTTTCTTACTCTACTTAACTTTATCCAGTTTAAATTGCGTTTATCTTGGAAGGTACGTAAAATTCAACTCAAAGCGGGGAACGTAGAGAGAGCGACCTTTGAAATTAGGGAATTCGGATCCGCTCGAAATTGAAATGCCCCTCCCCGGAGGGGCCATTTTAAAATTTATGAGGTCCTACTTACGCATGACTTCGACATCAAAGTGGGTTCCCAACTATACTTGCGTAAATATCTGGAATAATTAGGTCAGTTCTTTAAGACGCGCCGGAAATGCTAACGCACCCATTTTATTACGGATAACTACCGAATCAGCAGCTACGGGAACAGTTTCCGAGCTTCTAATTGACGTTCGCTTTAAGTGTTTTTCCGAACTCTTTTACAGGCTTTGACCAAACATTCTAAAGCCGGAAATTTCAAGAAAACATCCGTTATCTCAACAAAAGACGTTTCCGTGAGATTGATACGGATATATATGTCGATGTAGGTTATACACTGATGTCAACCTTTTTCCACCTGTTTGTTTCCATTCGGATGATCTGCAAACAACGACTTAGCGAAACCGCCCTAATTCCCTCAGGCCTATTTTTTCTTACCCACATCAAACATTTCAAAAAAGTTCCGCCAAATTTGACGTTGCTTTTACTTACCCCAAATAATCTTTGTTTGGTTTTGGTTAGACGTTATTATAAACTCATCAATAGATAACAATAAATAAGAAGACCTTATATTTACGTACTTTTGCTTTAAAAAATAATAGATGCTTTTGGTGTCACTGTCGATATTCTTTAGCTATTTTTCTGTTGTGTAAAAGTGATTAAAATGTATTCATACCAATAAAGTTTCGTTGTGATCTGCTACTAAATTGTGCGGAAGGGACAAGTAACTACTATACCAGGAAGAGGATGTTAATTTTTTATTTGCTTTCTTCCTACAAAAGTTTCATATAATTTATATGAATGATTTCTGGGATTGGATTACTTACGTTACCTCGAGTACCAAAAATTAATATACACAAAATATTCATGCTCCCGTGGTATATTAGTTTATTTGGGTTGGTATTACTTTCTGATAATACGGTTTATTTTTGGAAAGCTCAGCTTCTTACATTTAGAATTGCTTAACAAATAATATTACAAATACCGGTTACGAGAGTTTTAAAAAGGTAATGGAGATATTTTGTAAAAGATATTTTATGGCACTAGACAACACCACAGTTAAATACTAAAAACTAAAATGGTTGGTCAGCTTGATCATGAAAATGATATGTCAATTATTGAGTTAAATTGCAAAACATTGCATTCAATAGCAACATATAATTAAACAGGGTGCAATGGCCAAAGTATAAATAATAGAATATAAAAAGTAAAAATGTGTGTGCGTCACAGTTGCGACCACAATGTGGGTCTTACAGATCAACAGTTGGCGAAAAATGGTTATTTTTTCCTGATCGCATTTGGCACTGACAGAGGTTTTGACATTAAGGGCAAAGGGCAAACAAAGTAAAAACAATATGTGTTTTGTCAAGAGTTGCATTGCATATACAGAATACTTACTAAAATTTTTATAAACGAAACTTTAGTCACGACTTTGATTTTGTACGAGCTGAGCGCAGCGAATTTTTAATTAACAAATTTAAATAAGTTTATAAGCGCGTTGTATGTTAAAATTTCATCTGCTTTTTATATGGTTCTATTATATTCAGATACTGCTAATGTCCTTTTAAAAGAACACCGTAAATAAACTACTTAAACTCCATAAACTCGTTATTTGGTTACCATCGTCAATATTGACATAAAATAATTCGTATTATAAAAAATATATAGTTAAGGTATATTTGATATAAGGATGTTGGGACCGTATATAAATCTTAATCCATTCAGTCCGTTTCTTTTTTTTCAAACTCCGAAAGGCTAGGGGTTTCGAGCTCGAACAGAGCCCGCAAGCATTACAAAAGACAAGCGGATTTACATTTTCAATAACATTTACAATGTTGGCTCGAGGGAGACAAAAGTTGTACCCGGTTCGGTCGTTAACGTTGTAAATTACTTTGTGTGAGGTTAATGAGAAAATATACGACGCGAATTACGATGACGCAGTTCGATTTAACTTCTAGCGATTAGTTGCTGTAACGGTATACTCGAAGTGATTATCGATTTTTTCACGACGGGCTGTTTGTCCGACACCGTTTACAATTCCTGCAATCGAAACCGTAATTTTTAATCGGCCTAATTACGCCCCGAAGTATCCGTTAAACCCGGATTGCATACTGTAATTGCTATACTTATAAACTCGCCTACGACTTATTAAATGGCATCGAAAAATCGTAATTTGAACATTTCGAACACTAACCAAAATTGTTCAAAAATTCAATCATTCTTTATACTATTATTTATTATTATACAATTTATTTAATAATTAGACAAAATCAACATTTACAGTAGTAAAAGTCAAAAGACAAATGAAATTACATTTGAGACTAAAAAGACTAACTTTTTGTTTATTTTTTAAAGTATCTTTGCCTAAACGGGCGTAAAAAAAGACGGCTAGCAATAAGTAATAGGGTTATTTATTTACTTTCTGTTTCTAGTTCTAATTATTACTGAAATCACTAACATAATTAATATTATGTGATAATCAAACAATTTTTTTTAATCTTTATAGAAAAATAAATTTATAGTATTCTGAATTGATATACGCGGAAATTCAATTCTCGCGAAATTATATATTTTTACATGATAATTGTTTCGACAACACCGTGTCTTTATCACATTTGATAAAGACACGGTGTTGTCGAAACAATTGTCATGTATATGTATATGATTTCCTGAAAATCTGAACTTTTAGTTCTTATTTATTTTGATAAATGGATTTTCATCAAGTAAAAGCCACCTCAGTTCAATTTACCCTGAAATGTTAAATCTAAAGTCTTTTTTATTATTTTAAGGAAATGTATTAATAAAAAAGATAAAAGTATATGTGTTTCAAGGGTATTGGCCGATTGTCTTATTTTTTGTAATTTCTAAATGATACGTACGAATCATATAGCGGTTAGGTAATTATAGTAAACTATGGTAAAAATTGATGCACCGCAGGCGGCATTGATATTTTCGTAGTATTTCCATACACTTAACTTGCATTTCCAGAACATTTAACGAGATCTAGGCATATGTTGACAAAATACAGCCGCAAAAATGCAGCATCCAAACTTATTAACGATCTGTCAGTCGTCATGTTGGTTGTCGAATTCCGCAAGGTCATTAGTTATAAACGAGTTTCAAATCTCGCGTATGTGCATGTTGAATAAACCTAATTTTTTTTTACATATTTGCTTCATGAGTTCCTGTTCTATCAGCGTAGATAGGGCCTCTATATGGATAATGGCTGTATAGTACAAACATATGTTAATATTACATGAAAATATTTTAGTTATATATTGATATTTATTTTATTTTGGTAAATAATTACTTAATTAGTTTTATTTCATTTATAACAGAAATGCAATTGCAATGCGAAACTTTCTATATCCCGGTATATACATTAGTGCAACCGAGAGTACAATAACATGCAACATTAGAATTTACCATTTTAAAAAATACTTATCACAGCAGCACGAAATGCTTAGTAGGAGTTCTCATGAAATAGTCAAAATATATCATAACTAGTTAGTTTAAACAATGATAAACGATTGAAATAAATTCACAAAGTATCCGTTGCCAAATGACTGTAATTAATGAATGAATTGAATAAATTAATAAACATTTTAGTTTAGATTAACATATTTTGTATTTTTTTTCAGCGTGCCCGTTTCTATTTTCGTTTCTCCTGCTGATGACCTCCTCGGTCGACGCTCAGCAGCAGTATTTCCGGGTGCAGCCGCACGACATCGTGGTTCAAGAGGGCGGCGAGGCCATGCTGGAGTGTGAAGTAGCCAATCTTGCCGGTCAAGTGCAGTGGACGAAGGACGGTTTCGCATTAGGTAATCAGGACGTCTAAATCCGTTTAAATTAACCGCGTTAGTACCTACTCGTCGACGTTTGCTTCAGACAGCGTTGTCGGATTGTTGAATTTTTTTTTTGGTTAATTGAAGTGGCACAATAGCGTAGAACAACGGAAGGCGATAGAGCGAATTGTCAGCGAGTCCTCGTGCAAAGTGGTTTTTACGTTTGTTGACCGTTGGTGGATGCGCGTTTATTATATATATATAATATATACAGTGATATTTTTCTTGTGTTACTGTTTATTTCAACGATTTGTTCTCAATATGCAGGATGCCAAGTTAACTTTTTAAAATGCGTATTTATTAATATCCTCGGCGTATTCCGTAGTTTCCGTTTGGTTCTAAAAAATTTCAAAGTAAAGAAAATGGGATGTGGCATTTTCTAAAATTTCAATTTAAGCTTCGTTTACGAGATATAGACTAACCCTGTGTTACGATTTTTTTACAATTATCAATAATCGAGCAACACAAAGTAACATATTTAATATATTTTTTAATTTAATTACATGTCATAGCCAATTAATCTAATCACTGGAGATAGTATGTAATATATGTTTTGACATCCTATATATGAAAAACTTATCTGACCTTTATATATCTTTTATAATTTTTGTTTGATTCATTAAACACATAAAATTAATGCTACATCATGCAACTAAGGTTTGGAAAATCCTGGAATAAATAAAAACAAGTTATAATTAACGTAATTAAGATAGAGGCCTAGTATTTTAGTCAAAAATTATATGGTTAATGGATTGCATCGCTTATACAAAAGTAATTTCCCAAGGGTATGGAACATACGTGACAACGTGACAACTCTTTGATATATTGTTTAAAATGACGTTTATAATTGTACAAGGTGGGCAATTTTTGATGTTTCTATAGAAGATTGCTTGATCAATTGACTTTGAAAACTTTAACTTTTCATTATTTTCAATAAATTTCAAATTTCATTCATTTAATTAGTGCATAGTAACCATGAGTAACCATTCACTTCACCAGAAAACAAATAATATATTCATAATCTGTTAATGCCATGCGATTCTACACTGCCTGAAGAATGTGTAATTATCTTTTATGTAACTTGGAAAACAAGAACATCGGCATTACTCAAAATCCCGAAAAATAACTGAACTTTTTGATATACCTCGAAAACAAAAGAAAATAGTGACTTCTGGTGCTCATCACAGATTTCATATAGGAGTACAGATGTATTATTTGTTTGATGTTTTCTCGTCTTAAGCCTACAAGTCTCCATGAGTGCGAAAATACTTAAAAAAAAACGTTTGTTCATTTAATGGCGATCTGGAAGCGGCAACATCGGAACCTGGGCGAGCTGCACCCCACAATGCCTATTTAAATCCCGAACGTGTAGTAATAGCCACCGATATTGCAAATTGAGTGAATCGACCCATAGGTATTCGCAATTAGGAGGATCGACCTTGAGCAAATTTAATTTCGGGGAAATTTGCCGCGACGCATTTGAATTTCGACTTTTTGTTGCCGGAACTGGAATTATTCGAATTCTCGTCCGATTTTTTGTTGTAAAGGAAAATTGCTGAAAATTTTGAATTTGTGGAAAAAGTCTGAAACTTCCACTGTTGAATTTGTATAAGTAGGTGTTTTTGCTTAGAATTTTGATAGAATTTGGAAGCAAGGTATACCAGACGTGGGATAAACCGCAGTGTACAGTATCAAGAAATTTAAAAAAATAGTTTGCAAATGCACATTTTTAAATTTAATTAATAAATCCCTATATTTTTACAAAATTCACACTATATTGCAGTACGTAAAAGATTTATGAATTTCTGCTTTTTTACAAAACTTACCAAAAAACGTAAGTTTTGATTAGCTGTGAAAAAAAAAACTGAATTTCAATCAATGTTCTTATTCAATTTTCAAAAAAAAAGTGAATTTACAATCTTCTTAGAAAGTGACAGACAGAAATTTTAAGTTTTGGTGAGCTTTGTACAAAAAAACTTAATTTAATTTAATTTGTTGTTTTTTACAGAATTTCATAAAAAAATGTGAATTCACAAACTTCGTGACAAAGTTGAAGTTTTGGTTAGATTTGTAAAAAAATGGTAAATGCCTATGTTCTATATTCACTTTGATTTCCAACTGATTTTTTTTTAATAGGATATGCGCGTCTACGAATACCATGAATTCAGGAGAAAAGCATAAATAATGGAAATTGACAAAAGTAATAACCCCTGTAACAACCACAAATCGATAAGACTTACGATAAAGACACACAAGTAAAAGAGAATTTTTTAAGTAACTTTTTGATTTATCTTTTACGAAATCACGTTAAAATTTTATAGGATTATATTCTAAAAGAAACAGTGATTCAAAAAATGTAAAGGCCCGCGTTTTTAAACAGAAAGCTATTTATTCTGCCTCCCGTAATATGTAAATGCCAAGCCAATATTGTACATTGCCTAAAATAAATTAAAGAAAAAATTGTTTGTATAAACTTTGAACATAAATACACTAGCAACGCCGGCAGCCTCAGACAATAAATCAATATATATATAGAAGCTATCTAATTGAGAACTTCAAAGCCAACAAAATTCTAATATCAGACGTTAATAAACGCGAAACAAGACGACGTACCAGAGAACGGAACGCCCATATTAACGAAACTAAAGCCCGTAATTGAACAACAACATTGAAACGTATATTACGTCTTCGTATTGTCTCTATGTTTGTATTGTTAATATATAATCGCTCTTTCGCAATATTGCCAAAAGCTATTGTTACGGCGGTTTATGTAGCAGACTAATGAAGTTGAATTTATTCCCCGGCCATGTTTGTTATTTATCAGAATTTCGAAACCTCGTAGGGATTGATATAAGGAATGAAATTCCTACGAAGACGACTAAGAACTTTATTCGAAAATATACTTCAACCCCGGTATCAGTTGCTTCTACGTCAGCAATAGCCGTTCTACGCGAAGTATGTAAAACCTCTCTTCAAATTAAGTGATACATCACCCTATCGGGAAAGGAAAACCGAGATTGCATTTTCTGTTCTTAGTTTTTTGATGGTCACTTGAAAAGTTTCCAACCTCACCCTGAAGATGGCGGCACTAGTGACCAAAAGCTAGTGACCCTACTTGTGTACCTCTTGATAGCTACTTACAAAAGTTTCAGCCATTTTGGTCCCGTGATTTTTAGTTTAGAGTCGTTTTAGTGAGTCGATGTGAGTGTTTTCGGGAAAATGGAAAAAAATGAGTATGGAGCTGTTATAAAATATTTGTTTTTAAAAGGCAATACCCCTACACAAAATAAAGTTGAGTTGGGCTTTGGACCGTCATTTACCACAGTAAAATTTTGGGCAGTTCAATTTAAACGTGGCCGTAATAGCTTAGGAGATGATGAACGTTCAGGACGTACGAAAAAATGTAACTACCGGCGATAATATTGCTAAAGTTCATCAAATGGTGTTAGTTTTGGTTAGAACGTGTTTGTTAGACTTTAAATCAAGATTTAGGCACGCGAAAGGTGTACAGTCAAAACAGTGAATTGCGAAGTTGAAAAAGCAAAAACTGCTGGGAAAGTGATGCCGAGTGTTTCGTGGGAGAGCCATGGAGTCATGTTAATCGATTACCTTCAAAAAGAAAAAAACTACTACAGGAGCATACTTGACCCGCTGACGGAAAGAATAAAAATGGCCACATTTGCAAAAAAAATCCTGTTTCACCAAGACAACTCATACCTCAGAGAAAATCAATTAATTACGGTTTGAACTCTATCTGCCTTACTCATCAGATCTACCCCCAGCGACTTTTTGTTGTTACCTCACCTGAAAACTGCGCTCGGTGAACAAGAATTTCCGTCAAATTAGGAGGCAATCATTTTCGCGAACAATTACTGGGGGTGTGCGGGTTTGACAGATGGGAGCATCGCTGGAAGAAGTTTATGGAGTTACGAATCGACTATGTAGAAAAAAAAAGAGAAAAAATGTCTTGTATCATTGTTAGGTTATCCAAGGTTTGTCGAAGATAGACTAAAGTACTTTACAAAATTTCGTCAATTGTTATAAAAAAAGTTGATTAATAATTATTGTCAGATATCCAGTATTATTCATACGCCATAAAAAAAATTGTATATTGTATTTGCATATATATATATATATATATATATATATATATATATATATATATATATATATATATATATATATATATATATATATATATTGTATATTACAGCTATTTTATTGAGAAATATAACTTTTTCACTGTTACACTATTTTTAACAAATTTCTCCTGGAACCAAGCTGTTAATTCTTGTATTTTATAAAATCTAACTAGGAATTTGATTTTGTCGTTAGTGTCATTCTAAATTAAGTCAGATGGATAATGTTGGAGATTACTTATTAAATTTATTAATTATTAATGAATTGAAGATTAATATTTTTCGAACAACAAAAACAAACAAAAAAAAATATGTTTATATTTTATATGTGATTTCAAGCTTTAGAATGTGCGGAGTTTTTTATAAATAATAATTTTGTTACATAAAAATAAAAAAAAATATCGTATTTTTCACGGCAATTATAGTTGGCGACTTTATAGAAATGCCCATGTTTTTCGATCCTGCATGTTTGAGGGTATCCGTGATAAAAAAGAGAGCTACTTTTTTATGTATAACTAGGACGCATAAATAATACGAAGTGTTACATATTGTCAATTCAAAAAGCAAAAAAAAAAACTTTAAAATGAGAAATAATAAATGTAATATCGAATTTATTGATTTAGGATATGTTATTTTATAATAACTATTGTATTTCTCAATCCTACCAAAATATATATACAAGATGTTTTTAGGTTATCTAAACTATTAAAATTAAACATTAATATTATGTTAAACAGTTCTGGGATTCCATATTTGTCATTTACCTACGTTTTTAACTTGGCCTTAGATTTTTTAAAATTTAACGATAAGTTTTGGTTAGTTCTTAAAGTGGACTTTAGTTGACATATATTAATTGACTAAATGCACAGTCTATAAAGAATTCCTTATATCTGCGATATTTTTCATGGCAAATACCAACAACACATACATGATTGAAAAGGACTCAACACTGACATTTTTTAAGAGCAACAAAGCCTCTTTATAATTGTCATATAAAATACGAAAGTCTTGTCGATTTTGTTGTTAAAAAACAGTAACGTATTTGTCGGACAAAATTCTCTAATTGGCATAAAATGGAAAATTGGAAATATTTATATCCGCGCGACGAAACTTACTCGGCTTTGTCTTTTCCAGGCTTCCTGTCGGTTATTCCCGGTTTTCCCAGATACTCCGTAATCGGTGACAGGAGGCACGGAGTTTATAACCTGAGGATAAGCAACGCGTCTCTCGAGGATGACGCCGAATATCAGTGCCAAGTCGGACCGGCCAGATTGCACAAGGCCATCAGAGCGAACGCGAGGCTGAACGTTATTTGTGAGTGTTTTTTCCCTTTTTTAATCGAAAATGTATCGAAACAAAGGACAATGTTTTAATTCGACGCGCAACGCTCGAAATTGTTGTTGGATACGCTATTTTACGTCGATATGAATATGCAGCTAATATTTTAATTTGCAGTTGGTATTTTGTGGTTGTGTTCGCCTCCCGCAGATTTTTATGGACAATGCAGACGAGTAAAACATGCATCGTTATCCCATATAAAAAATCGTTGTTTAGCGTCAAATTTAACGTAAAAGTGTGCTTTTGGGGTGCTTTCCGCAAAATTTTTCGTAGCAAAAATGTTACAGCAATTTTGAAAAATGCACATTTTCGAAAAAATCCGGAGGAGACGGGAAAGCGAAGTTTCAATTTTTTTTTTTAGAATTTATGAAAAGGCCAATATAGACATTCCTTCCTAACAAAACTATCCTCGAAAACTTCGAAAAACGACCATTATTATACCGGGAATTATTGAATAGGTGTCCGATATTTTAAGAACTTGATTTTTTACATATTTTTAAAGTATGAAATCGTTCCATCTCAAATATTTTGTTTTCCAGATACAGAGTGTCAAAGTGTTATTTGTGTTTTTTGTGAATACTAAATAATTTCTAAATAATTTTTGTTTCTATGTTTTTACACGACAACACAAACAGAACGCATTGTACAATAAAATATGTAACTTAGCTATTTTTTTCGTTTATTAGAATTGGAAAACTATTGCTCCTATCTCCTAAGTGGACCCTCACATAAAATTGATCTAGCAATTCTTTTTGTTTACCAAAAATGTAATGCAAAGTCGTCCAAAAAGCAATTGTAAAGCCGGCTACACACGATGCGGCAGGCCTGTCAGTTCGAACTGACCAGTTCGCCTGAAGTCCTGAACGTGTATATGTTCCGGTTGAACTGTCAGTTATGACTATTCAGACGGATTGATATTTCATATTTGCCTGAACGTTTGGAGGGTCGTCAATCTATCAGGCGACCGGTCTTCAGGCGGACTGTTCATTTCGAACTGACGGGCCTGCCGGATCGTGTGTAGTCGGCTTAAGTAAGAGAAGCCATGCAAGTCCTAGTCACTACAATGAAAAGCTAAATTCAGAACAAATTCTACACCACCTATAATTATACAAAAAAACAAAAATCAAAATATAACGTTGACACTCCGTATCTCGAAAACGACGTGTTTTAGACCCTGTGAACTATCGGAGGCTTATTAAGTAACATCCTGCATACAAAACTTCGCCTAAATTATCTTTCGCTTTTCTCTGCGTATGAAATTGACTGCGGTCTTTCTTCAGTGAATATTATCACGCGTCCTGCACTCGGGCTATCGGAATGATTCGTTCATCGGTAACGCCACGTGCCCAATCAAATCAACCCCCCTTTTAAAAACGAACAAAAATTCTCTTTAATTATCCGCAGCGTTCGGTACAGTACGATACGGCTTTATTAACGTTATTCCCGCTGTTTCCCGCGAATCCCGTAAAACCACCTTTATTTTGGCGGCTCGGCTTAAATTGAAATTAACCAAGCGCAGCGATAAAAATTAGCATTTTTCCAAAAAAAAACTTGCAAATATAAATTATTTTAGTTTTTTTTTTCGGTTTTTAAGAGTAAATTCAAATGTATTTCCATCTAGACTTGTGTCGAAAGCTATCGGATATTGTCAACATTAAAACAAACCAAATTGAACAGATATATACACCTACATCCCATAAAAGCAAAAAAACTCATTTAAGTTATAAAGGCATGACTCACTAAACTACCTAAATTTATTTGCACAGTGCGAATAGATTTAACCATAAGTTTTCCTCGAAAGTTTTTGCAAATAGTTTAAGAATTTGTGTTATGTTTAACACAAAAAATTCGTAATGAAAAGCTCGATTATTAATTATTATTAAAATATTGACAAAAATGCACGGAAAAGAAAAGAAATTACTTTATGTGAGCAATAAGTCAAACTGTAAGGGAGAGAACAAATCATCTCAGAAGTTACATTTCAGGTTTGTTTGAAGCAGCTAACATTTCTTTACGTATTACAAATTAATATATAGATTAAAAAATAAAAACTTAGTGTAAGATTCTGTAATATCTGTAGTGCTCTTCGAAGCAGGTGATGTTTTATTAACTACGATTTAAATTTACATAAAATAAACTATTAAAAATGTTAGTAATGAATTACTAAACAATAATTTACAGAGAACTTTATTATATATATATATATATATATATATATATATATATATATATATATATATATATATATATATATATATATATATATATATATATATATATATATATATATATATATATATATATATATATATATATATATATATATATCGGTCATGTTCAAAACTTTGTTTTTGATACTAAACACAAGATAACAAAATAAGCTGCAGGATCAAGACTAAACTTAAAACCACCAAGCGAACGCGTCGGTTGTTTCAGTTAGGTGTAAATTTCTGTATTGACTTCATTTTCAATTTTTCAAGATGCAAGATATCCATCACTTTAGACTTTAAACGTCAGTTTTGTTTACCACTATCGCGAACCACTCCGGACGTTTCCGGTGCTTTAGTCACGTCATGTCACTTCAGATTTTGCAAAAGAGAACTCGTAAAATCTACATTGCAATTGATAAGATTCCTAAGGGCCATTTAGAAATTATAAATAATTGACTCGAAATTCCCAAAGAAACGCAAAAGTTCGATCCTACTAACAGTGCTAATTTGAGAAGAAGCTATTGGATATATACAGTGTCGAGTGACACTGTGGGATTTTTTATATCTTTGTAAATATTTTTATATCGCAAATTTTTAAATACAAAAGTTCTTTATACGGAGTGGCGAATTTACTGAAAAGTATATTTTATTGCATTTATGTATTCTGCGAAATAATTCAAACCGGTATAACGAATATGACTACCGATTAGACACAGTGAATCGTTTACCTGACATATTCCAATATTTACACGTTCAAAATAATTGGTTCCGAAATTTCATTTCGCGAAATAACGAACCATAACTAATTAGACTAAAGCGTTATAAACATGCTCAAACGGCGGGGCGGGCGCAAAAAAATATGGATTTCATTCGACTAGGCAAATTAATATAAATTGTGTTAAATCGGAGATCCGAAGCGTTCATCATTCAATAAACCCTTTAATTCTAAACGAGGTGGGCCTTTAATTTCGACATTTCGCAATTTCTGGCAATAATTGCGATTGTTTTTGATTTAAATTGCATTTTGATTACTCGGCCCTCTGCTCGCTCGGCAGAACCGGACCGCCATCGTCATCCCAAATGTATTTCGATTGTTCTCTGGCGGGGGAAACTGTTGGACCTTGGAACCATTAATGAATGTTATAGTAATAATATATGTATAGTCCTAAACAGGGTGTTTTGTTGGTTAGTGGTGCGTAATTAGTGAAGGAAGTAATGCTTAGCTTTATTTTAAGAAAAAACAACGTTTATTTTTACACATAACAGTGGCGCCAATGCGCTGTTTGTATCGCATATTTTTGATGCAAACATTTTGACATTTTTTTCAGGTCAATATTTTCTTTGGATGGTTTATCCATTTCTAGATAAAAGTCACCTGTTACGCTTCTCTTGTCAGATGCGCCGTTAATTTAATATCAACTTCACATGTTTCATTTTAAATGACTTGCTTCTTTTCATTTGTTTTCACTTGTGAATTTTAATTGGTTTAATTCACAATGGTGCTGATGCTGGATAATGCAGCACACTAATGTAGATCTTCAATTCCAATATCTTTTCCGGCAAACCACTTGTTTTCTCCAAGAAGAAGTTGGTGATTTTCCTTTACCATCTTCAAAAACATCGACACTCATGTAATTGTGATAATCGAGAACTCAAATTTCAATAAACCCTCTTTGAGGAACTTTCGTTTCCAACGTGTAGGACTTTTATCTTCTTTTCTCCGGAGGTACTTTAATACCCGTCAACCAACCTTCCATGAAAACTTGACGAGAACGAGTAATATTTTGGTCTTGCCTCATTTTTGAAACTACATAGATACACAATTTTAAGTGAAAATTGATTTCTTTTCCTTTTCACAGACTTTGTTTTAAAAATTAGAAACTTCTGATCCAATTTTTATATATTTAGCATTTTGCTACACCACATTCTAGTTATCAAGATTTTCAATTTTCTGTTACGATAAGATTTTCAAAAGCAAAGAAACTCCAAAACAAATACGATCACAGACGTTTCCGACTTGCCTTGTAACAAAGTTGATATCTTTGACCGAAACCGTAATACGTAAAGGCTGTTCATAGATATAAGAAATTGACTAACTGATACGAATGAAGGAAAGACCCGGGCAAGCTGTAAGAATGAAATATGGCCGAACAGGTCCGTACTTTGCTTAGAATTTAATTATTTGACGTTTTGTTAGGAAAGATACTAAACATATTTATTTATTTATGTATGTATTTATGTTTAAATCTATAACAAAATTACAAATTATTTTTATTATCTACTTAAATTACTTAAAATTATTCAACTAATATATCAGTATCACTATCGCTATCATCGTCTGTTCTAATTATTATTTGTTCTATATTATTTGCAATATGAATATTCGATTTTTTTGCTTTTTCTATATGTTTAACAGAATTTGCCCAACTTTGTGGAGGGATGTTAAAAACTTCGGTTTCTATAAGTCTGAGGACATTGGAGTTAACACGGGGAAAACATTGTTACGACGAATGGCAGATTTCAGTTGGTGCCAAACATGTTCAATGGGATTAAATATACAGTGGTAAGGTGGAAGCCTTAAATCTGTATTCCCTAGATTTTTTGCATAATTCTCACAGAGGTATTCCTTTTGTAGGTTCAAGCTTTGTAGATCCTCAATTAATTGCTTTTTGGTATAATCTTCGTGAAAATAAATGTCGTTATTATACATGTAGTTTTGGATTTTTGCTTTTGTGTCACCTGAGGAAGGGGTTTTAGTCAACTGGC